TCTGGAGAGATGGCTCAGCAGTTAAGAACACTGGATGGTCTTCCAAAGGCCCTGGATTCAATTCCCACATGACAGCTCACAACCTTCTGCAGCTCCAATTCCAGGTGGATCAGATACCTTCAGCTGTGGTACCATACACACATGGTACATATACAGACATGCAGGTAAAACACTCATACACATAACTTAAATAAAAATACATTTTAATTTAAAAAAATAATAAACAGAGGCAGCCCGCTATGGTGCCACCTGCCAGTAATCCCAGCACTTATTGAGGTGGAGGCAGGAAGATCAATAAGTTCAAGGTCATGTTTAACTGTGTACAGAGTTCACAATCAGTCTGGGGTACATGGGATCCTGACTCAAAAATAAATAAATAAATAATGGGGGGCTGGAGATACAGTTCATGGGTAGTATTTGTCTAGCATTTGCAAGGTTCTGGTTTCAATCTCCATTACAAAAAGAGAAAGAAGAAGAAAAAGAAATAGAATAAAAGCAATATATTAGGTGGTAATATATACATTTACTTTTAAAAACAATTATCCTGACATGGATAAATATCTTTGGAAAATGTCTACTGATAATAGCATAGTAATACAAAAGGTTTCTCTCAAGTAATTTAAGCAGCAGAAGTTGAGGAAAAAATATCTGTGCTCTAAGTAGCCTATAAGATGACAAAGACACTAACACTGAACATTTCTGAGAGTGAATAAAATTACTTTATGAATATAATAGGCAAAAGTAACATTCATAAATTATTTTCTATCTCTTTTAAAAATGCATATGTAAATGTTTAACCAAGTTAGTAAAGAAAATTAGGCACTCAACTATTCCACACATATTCATCAAGGTCAGTAATATTCAAGCTGGCTAAAACAGAAAAGAGTCATAAATGAATGCTAAGTCAAAGAAAACAATTTAATGAGTTAGCAGTGTTTAGGAGTCTGGGGGGTTGGCTTTTTGGGGGGGTGTTTTTTTGTTTGGTTGGGTTGGTTTGAGGGTTGTTTTGAAGTCTTAAAATGTCCCTTTACAGACTGCTACAAGTTAGAAGTGGGGAAAAGTAAGGGAAGAAATCAGACATCTTGACTGGAATCAAAATTCCCATGACCAGCGAAGAACAGCTCACTATCAACTCCACACGCAGTATTTTGAGAAGCACACAGTACCACTCATATACAGTCTGATTCTGATCACAAGGAAGTATTAGGCAAACCCAAAAGAAACAATGTTATATTAAGAGGGAAGCTCAAGTATGAAGGCTCAGCGATAGAAGTGTTTGCCACCAACTGCCCTGAGTTCAATCCCTGGGTGCCACATGTGGAAGAGGAGAACCAAGTCAAGCTGACCCACACACACTATGGCACGCTCAAGTGCACAAACATAATGTGCGTGAGTGCACACATGCATAGACACACACAATAAACAAATAAATTTAATACTAAAATATTTTAGTTTTAAAAAACGAGGGGAGCCTGGAATATATCTCAGTAGCAAAATACTTGCTTAGCACACATGGAGCCCTGTGTTCAACTCCCAGGACCAAATAGGTAAAGGAAGCCAGAATTGCTGGTATGTGCCTATAATACCAAATTGGAAGATTACGGCCATAGAATCAGGAGTTTAAGGTCATCCGATACATAGTGAGTTCAAGACCAGCTTTGATTAAAGAGACCCAGCCTCAAAAATGAGGAAGTAAATGAATATATTCTTCCGTTATTTCACATGTTAAAGATAGTTAAAGGCTTATAAATGTCCCAGATTAAAGAAAGTTCAAGACATATGGCAACTCAATGCAACATCTGACCCTAGAATTAATCCCAAACTGGAAAACAGGATGCTACTGTGTTAATTGGCAAAATTAAACAACAAATGGTAGATGATACAAGAGTACTGTATGAATGCTAAATTCATTGAAGCTGACAAGCCTACTAGGATTATGTATGTAACAGATACCTGTATTCTTAAGAAATGCACTATCAAATATTTAGGGATATGAAGCCATATTATACGTAACTTAGTCCAAGTTTGTCAGAAAAACAATTTGTTCCCTGTGCTTGCACAAGCGTGTGTGTGTGTGTGTGTGTGTGTGTGTGTGTGTGTGTGTGTGTGTGTGTGTGTGTATATACATGGGTACATAGGAAGAATTAAGTAATAGAAGAGAGGGAAAAAGAAAAAAAGGAGGTAAAAGGCAAATGGTTTTCTACCAATATGTAAATCTGACTACAAAGTTTAAATGTTCTCTGCAGGTCCTTTCTTTTTTATTATTCTCTAAGTTTGAACTTACTTTCAAATGAAAAAAATTAAAACCCTGCTGTATCTAATGCTAATCCAAAAAATTTTAATTAAAGGCTGCTACATATAAATTCATATATATTCTTTTAGGGTTGTAATGTTAAATATTAAAGTACTTTTTCTCTTCAGCTATTTTTCATCAATTTTAAGACTCATTGCTATTTTTTAATACCACAACCAAAGGGTGACAAATATAAAATGATACCAACTGTAAAACACACACAATATCAAAGAGGTTAAAAATGAAATCATATGCAATGAAACACATTTTTATAGCTGGCCAAACTATCTAAACAATTAAAAAACGTACAAACCCATGTATCAAAATGAGAAATAGATATTTTTCTGTTACCTGAAATTAGTGATAGGCTACAAAGATGGGGATAAAATGGAGCTAAGTCCCTCCAGAGAAAGCTGCGAATAACTGTGGCCAGACATCTTTCCTAAGATTTAGAAGAGAGGTGGCTAGAGTGCCAAGAGCCAGCACCTCAACTCCTCTCTACCCTTACCCCAGTGCAGAGAAGGAGCAGGGGAAACTGAGGGAGGGCTCCTAGGATAGTCTTGATGAACAGAATTTTCCTTCTCCGATTCCACACTCTTTGAGACCACGTTAGAACTTTCAAGTTTTGCCACTGCAAACCATTTTATTAATAATCATGTTTTAAATGTGTATCATTGGTGCTGGAGAGATCACTCAGCAGTTAAGAGCACTTATTGCACTTAAAGAGGACCTGGATTCAGTTCCCAGGACTTAGGTAGTGTCTCACAACCTCTTTAACTAAAGCTCCAGGAGATCTGATGCTTTCTTCTGGCTTCTTTGGGTACTGCCATATGTGGTGCAAGGACATAAAGGCAAGCACAACACTTGTATGAATAAAAAATGTTTAATATATATTAATACTATTAATATATATAGTAACATATATCCATATCCTTGGGACTGGGAAGATAGCTTAATCAGTAAAGTACTTATAGCACATATATAACACCTGAGTTTGAGCCCCAAAACCAAGGTTAAAAAGTAAATGTGGGGGGGGGGGTAGCTAGAGAGATGGCTCAGTGGTTAAGAGTACCACCTGCTCTTCCAGAGGACCTGGGTTTAATTCCCAGCACCCACATGGCAGCTCACAACTGTCTGTAGCTCCAGTTCCAGAGGATATACATGCAAGCTAAACACTAATGCATAGGAAATAAAAATAAATCATTTAAAATTTTTTAAAAAAACAGAAAGTGTGGAACTGGGCAGTGAGTCCCAGCACTTGGGAGGTAGAGCCAGGCGGATCTCTGTAAGTTCAAGGCCAGCCTGGTCTACAGAGCAAGATCCAGGACAGGCACCAAAACTACACAGAGAAACCCTGTCTTGAAAAAAAAAAAAAAAAAGGGTGGTAATGTCTACCAGTAATACGAAGCCTGGGAAGATGGAGAGAGGCAGATCCTTAGGGCTCACTGGTCAGCTATCCTAACCTAACCAACAGCCCAGACCAATGAGAGACCCTGTCTCAAAGACAAAGGTAAACAGCACCTGAGGAGGAACAACATCTGAGACTGTGACCTACACACACATACACACACACACACACACACATATGCACATGTACAGAGACACACACACACACACATACACACACATCAAACAAATGGAGATAGATAGAGATAGAGATAGAGATAGAGATAGATATAGATATAGATATCCGTGGACAGTGTTAATACTATAATTTCCCTGAGAATGAAACTCCTATATCTAACTATAGGTCTTTTTTATCACTGTATTACCAGATTGGTTTGGTTTTTTGTTTGTTTTTTGCTTTTGTTTCGTAGGGTTTTGGGGGTGTTTTGTTTGGTTTGTTTGGTTGGTTGGTTGTTTGTTTTTGTTTTTTCAAAACAGAGTTTCTCTGTGTACCCTTGGCTGTCCTGGAACTCACTCTGTATACCAGGCTGGCCTTAAACTTGGTAATCCACCTGCCTATGCCTCCCAAGTGCTGGGATTAAAGGAGTATGCCACCACTGCCTGGCTTGGTTTGGTTTTTTGAGTACATACAACACCTGATAATCTCATTAACAATATAAGAATATTTTTATCTCCTATCCCCACCTTTACTTCATACTATAATTGAATATCACATGGTTCCTTTAATTTGCACCTTATTTATTTGTAAATTGAGACTTTAGATGTGTTTGCTAACCATCTGAATAATTTTCCAGCAATTTCTCTATTCGTATTCTTGTCCATTTTTCTGTGTTTTCTGTAAACCACTAAAACTATACTACATTATAAATAGTAATTGCCATCTAAAATGAAATTTTGGGAGGAATGATTATGTTAGTGACTTTATATACAATTTTTTGGCCCTCTAAAACATTTATTTACTTAAAAGCATTCCTATGAATGGATACATACACATTTTTCCATTAAGTTACTGGAATTTCAGAAGCTTTAAAATATAGAAAATAAAAATAACTGATTTCCCTCAATGTAAGTGTTAACAACATGAAAAGGCTATAAACAAAAAAGGTTTAAAGAGTAAGAGGGGAGATTTAGGGCAGTAGAAGGTAAGAGGGAGGGTGAGGAGGGAGGGGCAGGACGTTAGAAATAAGATACATTGAAAGGCCACAGTGAGCAGTACAGTTGAGATTCAATACCAGGCATCTGAAACACATGAACAATGGCAATCCCAGTCTGAGCTAGGGCATAAGAACAAGCTGCTTACCTCTCAATAGCTAATTCTTTGTTAGAAAGTTGCTGAACTGTAATCACAACCTTCTTCTCTATTCCTTGCTTTATTTTGAAATAAAATTTATCTCTATCCTTAGGCACAGGACTGAAATATTCAAAAAGAAAAAAATTAGCAATATAATAGTAGAACAAAATAAGATAATACATTCTAAAATGAGAACAAAACAGCAAAGTATTAAGGCAAGAACACTATATATTTTTTGTTGGTTGGTTTGTTTGTATCTCCAGACAGGGTTTCTCTGTATAGCCCTGGCTCTCCTGAAACTCACTGTATAAACCAGGCTGGCCTTGAACTCAGAATTATGCCTGCCTCTGCCTCAGAAATGCTGGGATTACAGGTGTGCGCCATCATCACCCAGCAAGAATACTATATTCTTTTTTTTTTTTTTTTTTTGGTTTTTCGAGACAGGGTTTCTCTGTGTAGCTTTGCGCCTTTCCTGGGACTCACTTGGTAGCCCAGGCTGGCCTCGAACTCACAGAGATCCGCCTGGCTCTGCCTCCCGAGTGCTGGGATTAAAGGCGTGTGCCACCACCACCCGGCAAGAATACTATATTCTTAAGTCGTGCTGAATCTCCTCACTACAAGCAGAAAACAGTAAATTTCATAACCAGTAATATAAAACTTCTAAAAGTTTGAAAATGGATTACAATAGCCTTATATTTTTATCTTTCAATCAGGGTTAAATGTAGTATCTAAAACTATGACAACAAAGTATCATTTCAAATTTAGCTTTTAAATTGTAACAAATTTTCAAATACTGCTTATTTAATTTTTAAAGATTGTCACATTCTGGTTCAGCTGCTGGATGGTCATGAGCACCTGTACCATAATTAAACCAAGAAAATACCAGTAAGGAACACCTTACTCTTCTAAACATCAAGAATTTAAGATTACTTTTACATATCTAAGTAAATATAAATAAAAGATGGACAAAAAGATACAGATCATACATAGCAAGTTAATAAAAGTATAACAAAAGATGAAGTAGATATTTTCATGATGAACAAATAAAATTTAAAATACATGTCTTCTCAGAAAAAGAAAAATACTTCCAGCAACTTATTCAATCTGACATTCACTTTTTTACTGGCAAAAATACAAATAACTATCTAGAAATTGTTGTTATAAATAAAGACACTAAAGGCCGACTGTGATAGTCTCTCTCTTTAATCACAGCACTTGGGAGGCAGGACCAGGCTGATCTCTACGAGTTTGAGCTCAAGGTCAGCCAAGGGCTATGGAGTGAGACACTGTCTCTAAAAGTAAAAAATAGGCCGAGCAGTGATGGCAAACGCCTTTAATCCCAGCACTCAGGAGGCAGAGCCAGGCGGATCTCTGTGAGTTCAAGGCCAGCCTAGTCTACAAAGCAAGATCCAGGACAGGCACCAAAAACTACACAGAGAAACCCTGTCTCAAAAAAACTAAATAAAAAAAGGTTAAAAAATACACTGCTGCCGGGCGGTGGTGGCGCACGCCTTTAATCCCAGCACTCAGGAGGCAGAGGCAGGCGGATCTCTGTGAGTTCGAGGCCAGCCTGTTCTACAGAGCGAGATCCAGGAAAGGCGCAAAGCTACACAGAGAAACCCTGTCTCGAAAAACCAAAAAAAAAAAAAAAATACACTGTTAAGGTATATAGGTGATTGTTAAATAGGATAGCCACTTCCTATTAATTGCTCACTTTTGAACTGGAAAAAAACATTTTAATGTATAATAGAAGGAAGTGGTTAAATGATGGCCAAACCATATGGTATGCTAACAGCAACCACTAAAACTAATTCTGGTGAAGAATATTTCAATAAAGGATAGAGGGTTGGATAAGCAGTTAAGAGCACTTGTTGCTCTTGCAGAGGACCCGGGTTCAACTCTGACATGACAGCTCACAACCATCTGTAACTCCAGTCCCACAGGGTCCAATGCCTTCTTCTGACCTCCAGGCACCAGGCATGTACATTTTACAAACATACACAAAGGCAAAGTAATGATACACATAAAATAAGTACATCTTTTTAAAGATTTAATTTTAAAAAATAATTTAACGAAAATTATTTTGAAGGAGAAAAAATTATTTTGAAGTATATAAATAGCTGTAAATTTTTCCCTACAAATACAACAAAGGAAAAAAATTAACTAGCTGGGGGTGGGGAGTGACACATATAATCCCAGGACTCAGGGGTAGACTCAGGAAAATCAGGAGTTCAAAACCAGCGTCAGCTACATAGAGAGTTCAAGTCCAGTCCATGCTACAATGACACCTCATCTCAAAAAATAAATAATTAATTAATAAAATAAATAAATAAATAAATGGAGAATAAATTAACACTTTTTTTAAAAAAGTGATGTTCCATGGCTCACAAAATTACAGCCTGTGCCCTGTTTTTATGATATTAATATCCTATAGCATCAGATTCTTTTAATCATTAAGAAAAATGTTTGACTATCTGAGAAGTGTAAGAATATTGAACTGTAGTTATTCACCATTCAAATATTTCTTGGCCTATCTAAAGCTTTATACAAACAGGATCTGGTGTCTAGAAAGCATGTTGGCAAATACTGTATTCCAGGCACAATGCTAATTTTCTTTTCAGATTATTCTTCTCAGATAGTCTCACCTAAAGTTTCCTTTTCCATCATCTTCTTTGACCTCCAAGGATACACTAAAGGTAAACACATCACTGTCCGGGGTTGGGATGATTGAATCTTTAACATCAGCCACTTGTCTGGAAGAACGTTTGAATGCAGTACAGAAACTATATAAAATTCTGCTTACCTAAAAAGTGAAAATGGAAATGTAATTAGACCAAAGCACTAAATGAACCATGATATCCTTCTCTCCCATTTTGCAAGTCTAACTTTCCATACCCACAGTTTTCTTTAGTCCAGAAAGTAAATATAGTGTAAGCATCTATCAACCATTTGGACAGTATATAAAAACATTTTCATCAATTATCTATTAAAAAGTGGCAGATAAATAACCATATATAGTAAATGCAGATCATCCTAATTCTAAATTATTATACATGAAGACCATCATTAGCACGAAATCCAAGAAAAAAATATTGCCAAAGTATCCCTCAAAAAGCACACTAATTCCACAGAATGTTTAAGTACATGAAGTCAACAGTAATGAATCACTTCATAAACTTAAATTCAAGTATGATGAGTATTTTTACACCTACACAGTTAAGATTCACAGTAAACACTGTCAATATAAACCCTAGAGAACAGAAGGAAACTAGTATTAAAGAGCTGCAGCTAGAAACTGAGATCTGAGAATGAAGACCAGCAGCAGGTTCAGGTCCACTCAAGAATGACAGGGAGTCGGCACTATTAACTGTGATTCAGAACCTCTCTCACTAACAAGATGCACAAAATACATAAACAGAAAAAAAAATACCTTGAGAACCAGAAAGCATTTCATTATTAGGGAATATTTTATTTGAAAAGGTTTTCCCAGATGATATCTAATTAAGACAATGCAACATTCCCTTCAAAGAAACTGCTTGACTGTACTACACATACCATTTGTTAGGGGGGAGGGGAGAATGTATCACATTATTTTATTATCAAAGCAACTTCTCCCCAATACGAACAACAGGGATCTTTTGGGTGCCAGATACATGAAAGATTGTTCTGTCAGGGGAAACAGATATTATTTGCTATCATCAATCAATACAAATCTCTTATATATACAGCTTCAGATACAATGAGTTTGTTGACCAACTCAGTTTATACATACTACTCCACTTAATAGTTTGAATAACCTTACAAAACAAGCCAACAGGTATTTGCAATTCTTTCTGCAAACCAGTGAAGTGACTGGGTAGAGTCTAGAGTGCTGATTTGAGGACCTTTAAAGGAAGTTGCATTGTTTTGATTAGTTCTCTGTTATCAATGACTTGCTTTCACAGAGTAGTAAAGAAGAGACTCAGGCTCAATGAATTAATGCCTATCTGTGTACCTAGACTACATAAATATGCCCAAATGTAGTTTACTAGTATTGTAGGAACAATACTAGCCTCACTAAGAAAGAATTATTAACTTAAGAGTCATCTTTCAAATATTCTTGCTGTTTCTTTAAACTCTGATATTTAAAAAGTTAATAAACATGAACTTTTAAAACAAAAATCCAGGATGGTCCAGTGATTAAGAGCACTTGCTCTTACAGAGAACTCAAGTTTCATTCCCAGAACCCACATGGCATCTCACATCTGTCTGTAATCCCAGTTCCAGGGGATCCAAGACCTCATCTGACATCTGCAGGCTCCTACATGCATATAGTGCACAGATGCACATACACTGGGTTTCTGAGACAGGGTTTCTCTGCATAGGCTGGCTGTCCTAGAACTCACTCTGTAGACCAAGCTAGCTTTGAACTCACAGAGCTCTGCCTGCCTCTACCTGCCTCTGCCTCCCAGGTGCTGGGATTAAAGGTGTGTGCCACCACTGCCCAGCTTAAATAAGTATTTTTTTAAAGCCAGGTTGATCACACCTGTACTCCCAGCATTAGAAGGGCTGAAACAGGAGGACTATCACCAGTTCCAGGCTAATTTGGCTACAGAAACCTGTGTCAAAAAAAAAGATAAAACTGAACTAATTTAAGTTCACAAAAGAAGCTATATTCATTTGTAAATGTCTCTAGGCTACAAAATATTGCAACGAAAGCAAAAATGAGGGTGGCAGCTACATCGTCCCAGTGAATATTCACAAACAAGGTTTTAGCTAAAGTCCTCTGTTTCTCTGTGGGCCTCCCTTAGCTTCATCAAGCTAGATACTGAGCTACAGCATTGAAGCTACATCCTTTCAACATACAGTATTTTATGGTAATAAGATTTGAAAAGCTTTCAGTGTTTTCACTCAAGGTTTTGGAGTATAAAAGATTTCCAGATAAATAATGAAAATATTTGAATCTATTCTATTAGCATTAGGTCACTCTAGTAACTATGAAATTATATTTGTATTTTCATATTATTTATTTATTACTCAGAATTTTTCCCAAAGTGGCAAAGAACTATAAATATAACACTTTCCAGAAGCTACTCTTATCCCTGGGTCCACAACAATAAAAATATGGTGAGAAAAGTTAAACAAGGGTCCTGTTTTCAATACCTCATGCTAGGATATACAAGTAAGATTTTACTGATTATTAACAAATTTCTCAATTTGAAAGTCAAATTATCAATGAACATATTAATCTAGGAAACACTGTTTTTTAAATTTTCTTAAAGCAAAACTACTCCTTTCAATAGAAGAAATTGTTGAGCTGCAATTGTAGCTCAGTGGTGCCTTGAGTGTAAACAAGGCACTAACTACAATTGACCTCAGCACTTAAAAACATGGAATCTGTTTCCTCAAATGGAATATGCTACTTTATTTTTCTGTTTCTGTCTAATTCATACATTCTGGAATTAACGTTTTCATGCATATATACATATATGCAACCTACATTTTAAAACAAGTTGTCCTCAAACTCTTACAGTCGCACTTTCACCAATTATTCGTTACCCTAAACTACTTTTCCAATATCAAATCAATTCTTAAATCAACTACTTAACATTGTAACACTAACAGCTCTATAGAAATAGTTCTACATGCACATATAGTTATATTAGCAGTAGAACCATATTTATAGCAGAAGATTCATAATGATGCAGTATCTTAGTTATCTCTCATGATCTTGTATAAACAAGTGAAAATAATAAAAGCAGTAAAGAACTAGTATTAATAAGAAGTAGAGCCCTCAAGTTTTTTGCAATTAAAACAATAAACTTACTCATTAAACAAATTTTTGAGCATTTTCTGTGCACAAAGTAACATTCTAGGTGCTATGAACACATTGGAGAGCATAAAACTTATATTCAAATGAATACAAATAAAATGTGCTTAAGTTCACCCAGAAAGAATCATTAGGTGAGCCAAAATCAAAAATGTCAGCTTAAGTTTCAAATTTAACTATAATGTAGCCCATTAATTTAAATGGCATGTCTTACAAATTGCTATTTCCACCAAAAAAGTTAAAATTATGTGTGAATTCTAGAGTCAGTGAACAGAACAGAAGTGATGCAAGGATTAGTAAGGTAAAGTTCAAAGACAGTGATTATCAACATCAGTTCTTAGAGCACTATGTAACTGGTTACATAACCAATTACATAAAGTAAATTAAAAATCCATACCATGACAAACACCTCAAAACATAGCACATTGTTAAAACGTATACACACAAAAATAATCTAAAATAGGCACTTTTCTGCGGGAGGCAAAGGTTTATTAACAAACAGTACAGTAGAATTGTTTCCACACAAAGTATCTACAGAAAACATTACACACAAAACTGAGCTTCTGACTGCTGCTGCTGGAGGTGGAGTGTACATAGACATCTGAAACCAGAGATATACTACAATCTTAACTACTATAGAGTTTTGGTAACTTTATTTTCTTTATTTCAGTATTTTCCAAATTGGTAAATATTACACAGTTGAAGTTCAAATGATGCTATTAAATGACAATGGTACTTACTTAAATATAGCTGCTTTTTCAAATATAAAATTTTTCCATTAATATTCATGTAACATAATCTACTCTCTAGAAATACTAGCAAAAAATGTTCATTTGAGTCTGGCAGTAGTGGCACATGCCTTTACTCCCAGTACTCAAGAGGCAAAGGCAGACGGATCTCTGTGAGTTTGAGGCCAGCCTGGTCTACAGAGGTAGTTCCAGGACAGCCAAGGATACACAGAGAACCCTGTCTCAAAAAAAAAAAAAAAAGAAAAGAAAAGAAAAGAAAAGAAAAAGTGCTGGGTGTTGGTGGCACACATCTTTAATCCCAGTACTTGGGTGGCAGAGGCAGGCAGATCTCTGACTTCAAGGGAAGCCTGGTTTACAAAGTGAGTTCCAGGACAGCCAAAGCTACACAGAAAAACCCTGTCTTGAAAAACCAAAAAAAGAAAGAAAAGGAAAAAGAAAATGTTCATCCAAGAAATAAACATAAAAATATGACACAAGCATGTGACCAGTTATGGTAGCACGTACTTTTAATCCCGGTACTTGGGAAGTAAAGGCAGGCAGATCTCTATGGGCTACATAAACCCTATCTAAAAAAGCAAAGAAAAGAAATGATTTTTCCAATTTTTTTTTCAATTTAACAACTTGCTTGAATGCATTATCATTAAGAATTGCCAAAATGAAGTTTTAGAAAGTAAATTACTATCCATCTGGGCATGGATACTTGTAAATCCTAGAACTAGAAAAACTGAAACCATAGGTGTATGCACACCTTCATATATACACACAAATGAATACTTACAGGTGCGTATACCATACTCACAAATGGGGAGGGAGTGTATCTTAGCATTAACTAAGCCCTTTAAAGTATTCTTTTAAAGCTTTGTGTAGCAAATCCACAAAGACACAAGAAGCATGGGTACCTCCTTATCTTTTTTTACTACTTCTGACATTTTGGTTTGTCTGCAATACCTCAGCAGAAACCTTGCATCATTCTCCCTGTACAAAGGTCACAGACATTAAGATACATTTGGTTGGACTGTCAAATTATTTTGCCAAATGTCATGAAGATCCAGTCCAATAGGGTCAGGACAATAAGTCAAATGTATTCTGATAGCACAGTGTCCAAGAGAGTCATCACCCTCACTAGGCTTCCCTTCTTCACTGTTGGCATCTGCTGCCTGAGGAGATTCATGGTGAAGTAAGAGCATCACGGGGTAGCAACCATGCTGTTACTGCTTGAAGAAGCATTTTCTTCCCTTTAGTAGGAAAACCTTCAGGTATCATCCAGGAACTTAAGGGAGAAAGAAAGGGAAAAGAAATTAATTAATGGCATTGCTGCACATCATGCATAAATGATAAGACTGTCATCTGTCCTTTATTCTTTAAGCTCCTTGTGTCCACCAAAAAGGACTCATATAGTATTTGTCCCTTTAACACAAAACAGGTAATTCCTGGGAAACAGACAACTAGATGACCAGTAAATATAACTAGAAGATTTCAGATTAACTCAAATTGTAATTATATTATTTTTTGGATGAAGTGAGGAAGATGTTGATGAACTCCATAAAGACTTGAGTACACCACTAACATAAGTGAAATGCAAGCTATGCAGCTGATAAATTCACTTCCAAAACAAAACAAAAAACAAAGGCTTCCATTTATTTTTAACAATTTTTTTAATTTTATATTTTGTTACATTCTCTGTGTGTGTGTGTGTGTGTGTGTGTGTGTGTGTGTGTGTGTGTGTGTGTCTGTGTCTGTGTGTGTCTGTGTGTGTGTGTGTGTGTGTGCATATGTGTGTGTGGTGTTGCACATGTGGGTAGAAGGCAGAGGATAGGTCCACCTTATAGGTGCCAGAGATCAAACTGAAGTTGTCAGCCTTGACAGCAAGCACCCTTATCCACTGAGCTATCTCATTGGCCCCTACTTTTTACAATATTTAAACAACAAGGAAGTTTTTGCTGAAAATAAATATATAGTTCTTCTGAGCTAAAGGCTTCAATTTGAAGCCCAGCTCTTTTATTCATTCTCTTTGTCTTGGGTCAAGCAAAAGGTAACCACACAAATTATCATCTAAACCAGAACATTTTTTAAAGTAAATGTAAGGGTATTCGTAATATATCTGAACAACAGGCATAAATTAAAGTTGTTCCAAGCAAATCTAATGTCAGTTGTCTAAAAAAAATCCTACCCATCCATGGGATGTTAGGAGCATCAATCAAGTAGATGCTTCACACAATGGCTGACATAAGCTCTCTATATACACTGGGTTACTCAATATTTAGAAGTGTTCTCTCCCAATAAGGTTTAATGACCGTAGTCCTGTACCTCCTTTTTCAAACAATATGTTTTATTCATCAATGATTGACAATAAAAGTTTCAAAAGTATGTTTTTTAAAAATTAATACATGAAAATCACAGCCAGCAATACACTGTTTAGAAATGTAATAGTAGTATCTCCAAAATTATCAAGTCAAGAATTTCCCACTTTTTTCCCATTCATCACCCACTATTAAAAGCTCTTCAACAAAGAACGTCTCCTATATTCATAAATAAATAGATACTATAATCCCAAAAGAGAGTTGCATACCATCAGTTATAGAAATGCATGCAGCAGGTTCCCCCTCAGTTTCTTCCTAGGGCAGCATTTCCATCTCTCAAGCAGCAGGTTCTTGAATTCTTCAGAGTTTATCCTCTTGTTGTTCAGTTCCAGTGGTCCAGTAACCATACAGGTGTATTAAGTGACAGCTGTCAACATGAAATGCCAGGACTCTACCAATCTGTTTCCCCACCTCTGCAGTGGAGTGTGTAAGGATCACAAATAGTCCTCTCATTCACAAAAACCCATGTATTCTTTCAACATTAGTAGACTTACATTCATGTCTACTACATGCCAGATACACTATCAGCACACTTGGACCCAATCACTCTTGCCAATCACAGCTTTTCAGAAAGAAGTGAGTATACAGTATAGATTTAAACTTTGGGATGAAACAGAATAAGGCTTTACCTGAAAAAGCAATACTAACAACTTGAAGTTTGATTAAGGCATGAATTCTAGCAGAGAATTTCTATAGTTACAATATAAATTATGTGTTTCCACACAATTATTTTGGTGTAAAGCAAAATAATTACCATGACATAAGAAATAGCATGCCAATCATATTTCGTATTAAACTCACAAAGATCTATGTTTCTATGAATTCTTGTGTTGTGGTCATAAAAGTGTCTATAACTAAAATTATGTGTTCATGCTGTATGGTAAATAGAGACTAGAATGGTGCTGCTTTTAGCATTTTCTGTTGGCAATTTAAATTTTCAAAAGTGAGCATACCTGAAAACTTGCCCACACAAGCCTACTTTTCAAAGCCTTTGAAAAGGCTTCAAGTAATAAACTAATACAATTTGGAGTGGGGGGACAAGTAGATAAACTCAGAAAAAATGCATTTACAGCATTTGTTTCTGAACTATTATTCCAATACAAGAATAAACCACTAATTAATAATAATTGCTAAGAATATACTGACATCTTCAAAGGACTACAAGTTCCCCTAATTCTATGAGAGCATCTGTATTTTTAACTGGCCAACTCAAGAATGAACTCAAGGCTTAAAGTGATAAAAAGTCATCACCAGTGAAATCAACAGAGATCTAAGAAACAAGGTTGGTATACTATGTAAGTGAAAGCATTATACAACTATCAAGCCCAGCAGAAAATCAGGCACTGTAAGATGCATTTTTTAAAAACCATTTGGACTACTGAGCTTGAACAAAATAATAAGAGTCATAAAAATACTCATCCTTTCTGAGCATAAGCAAATATTACAATGGTAGGGTCAAAGGACAATTTCCCAAATGGCATTTTGTATTATACCTGCTCTACCTACAATATCATGTTCGTGTACAACATGTCAGACTTAGTTAGCTTTCTATATTCAGTGCCATGCCACTTCAAATATTAACATGGTCACTATACTCTCCAAGTTTACATAATGTCTAGTTTACATATCTCTTTCTAAGAAAAGAAAATCAAAGAGTTCAAAAATATATCCTAATTAACCTCTGTAGAAAACTGCTACATCGTATCATACTTACTGCCTCTTTAATTTCACAGGAGAAAACATGTATCTGAAATTCTTCTGAACCATGAGAACTCTCTGTAAATGCAAAGCAATTGCTCTCTGTTGTCCCATCATGGCCACGTGCACAGAATAGCACCTTATAAATTGGGAAGGATGCTATCTCCACACTGCTTGACTGGTCTATAATTCTGCAATAATAAAAAATGAGATTGAAATATCAACTATCAAAGCAAATCATGGTAATATGACATAATATAACTGTTAAAATCACAAAATGGTTATTAATACAAGTAAATGAATTATCTTCATGTTACTGAAAATCTTACACATATAAACACACACACAAAATCATTTCATTTTAACAATTTCTTCATTCTTGTTTCCTATGAGCCAACTCATACTCTCCAGTCAATTATATATATATATATAATTATAACTATATATATCATACATCTATTCCATATCATATCATATATATGTTTGTGTGTGTGTGTGTGTGTGTGTGTGTGTGTGTGTATATATATATATATATATATATAAAATATCATACCAACAGACTTTATGTTGTTCTGTTAAAAACCATGCCAGGGCCGGGCGGTGGTGGCGCACGCCTTTAATCCCAGCACTCGGGAGGCAGAGCCAGGCGGATCTCTGTGAGTTCGAGGCCAGCCTGGGCTACCAAGTGAGTTCCAGGAAAGGCGCAAAGCTACACAGAGAAACCCTGTCTCGAAAAACCAAAAAAAAAAAAAAAGCCATGCCAGTAAAGGGGGAAAAAGACATCAAAGTAGGAGGAGGATTGTTGAAAGGAGGAGGCTAGACAAGGATAATACAGGGTGGGTGAAAATGTCCAACACTCAGCACATACACACATCAAATTGTCAAAGAATATTTTTGTTGGATTTTTTTTTTTTTTGGTTTTTTGGTTTGTTTGTTTTCAAGATAAGGTTTCTCTATTACATAGCTATGGCTGTCCTAAAACTCACTATGTAGACCAGGCTATCGTTGAATCAGAGATACACCTGCCTCTGCCCGGGACATTCACCACTACCACGGGAGGAGAGAAAGAAAGAGAAGGAATAGCACAGATCATTCCTAGAAAGTCCATTTCTTTTTTATTCTTTTATTTTTCTCTGTATGTGTCTATGTGCATCTGTCATAGAGGGCTTGTAGATGTTAGTGTGTACAGGTGTAAATGCATGTACAATACATGAGGAGGTCAAAGGTCAACCTCAGTTATCAATCCTTAAGGATACCCCATCTTGTTTTCTTATATTTTTGGTTGTAAGCCTAGCCTTTAATGGCTGAGCCATCTCTCCAGCCACCATCATGTTTTCTTTGTTGTTGTTTTGATCTTTCACAGCTAGAGTGGCAGCCAGCAAGTCCCATCAATCCTGTCCCTCAACATTGGGGTTACAGGCATGTAGCCACACCATGATTTTTTTTCCTTTAACTTGAGTGGTAGTACCCCAAACTCAGGTCTTCTGCTTTGTACATACAGTAAGTGTTCTTGTTCACCTTGTTTTTTGAAACAGAATCTCTCACTGGGACCTATGGCTAGACTGACACACAGCAACCCCAGGGATCTGACTGTCACTACCTCTCCTTTGGAAGGCTCGGGAAACAAAGGAAAGTGCGTGCTCCACAAGTAAGAGCACCTGAGTTAGATCTGAGTGTAGTGGCCTGTGGGTGTAATGCTAGTGCTAGGGAGGTTGACAAATAACCCCAGAAGCTCCCACAGGAGGCCAGAAAGCCAGCCTAGGAAACTTGGCAAATTCCAGACCACTAAGAGACTTTGGCTTCAAAATTTTATTTAAATTTTTAAAAGGTGGGCAACAACTACAGAATACCACCAGTGGCTGTCCTCTGCCTCCACACACACCTACATGTCCCCACACACATTCCACATAAAGAATACAGTAACACAATGTTTTCCTAAAACATTAAAGGCTATTTTTATCAATAGTTTGTAAATCTAGGGGATAAGGAGATGACTCAGAGGTTAAGAGCACTGGCTGCTCTTCCAGAGGACCCAGGTTCAATTCCCAGGACCCACATGGGAGCTCACAACTGTCTGTAACTCCAGTTCCAGGGGACCTGGCACTCACACAAGCATACATGCAGGCAAAATACCAATGCACATAAAATAAAAATAAATCTTTTTTAAAAATTGTAAATTTACAATGCTTTTAGTAGATACTTACTAGATTAGTAATTTGAAAATATCCTCTGCAAACAGTAACAAGTTCTAAGTCTAAATGTAATTTTTAATTTTCACTGTAAGTCTAGAGAGCATAAGTGAACTCACAGTTTAGTCCTACATCTGTTTCATGATGTAACATACTCACCACCACTCAGAACACTTAATCATACCTTAAGAAAAAGAAAAAGAAAGCTTACCTCACAGAACCTTCTGGAACATTGGGCACATAGAGTGTAACAGCAAAGGGGTACTGACTGGAGGCTCTCATGGTTGCCATTGCCCGTAAAGCCTCTACTTCACTACGTGGGGAAGAAACCTTCATACATCCTAAGTAAGTCAATTTGTTAAATAGAACACTGTCTTCTTCAGAAAGTCCACTTGGAGAAGACGGTCTGGGTTTGGAAATTTCTGAAAAAAAAAAAGTGAAAACAATCAAGTCTCTAGTACACATTCCAAAAACAACCAACAGTCATTTTTTCATTTTCCTTATCACTGGCTCCGTAGCTTGTGTGAACTATTAAGTATTCTAATGAAGATGCTTTTCTTACAACTAATTTTGATTATTGCATCACCCAATTTTCCTCTCTATATAATAGTGGGGGGAGTACATATATAATTCTACACACATTTTAAAAAAACTCATTATTCACCCAATTTTCCTCTCTATATAATAGCCGGGGGGGGGGGGGGGGGGGGGGGGGAGGACGACACATATATAATTCTATATACATTTTTAAAAAACTCATCATTGTTAGAGACTATCTACCTGCATGTAAAAAAGATAACAAAATTCATTTTTAAAAACTATAAATCATTTAAGCCATTAAGTTTATTTATTTAAACAATATCAATATTTATATTATTTTAGTATTAGTATCACATGCACATATGTTGTTATGCATTTCTGTCAACTTAAATATGGGAAGCATTAAGCAAGGTCCTGTAGTAAAATCACGGGTCAGTGGCTAGCAAACATCATACATAGGGAAACTTACTGGAAGTCCTGTAACTGGGTTTCTAAAACTGAAGAGGGGATTTTTTTGTTTTGTAAAAATAAAAATATTCTACAAATCTGTGTAAAAATAATTCCTAACTATAGATTCTAAACACAAAACAATGCAGATAAATGAATCTAAAAATTATAGACAATAAAATTAGTAAGCAATACTTAAATTATTACAAATACGAATAAGGATTTTTATTATTTTTAACAAAGTAAGTAGAAAAATAAAAGGAATAACTAAAATATTCTAAAGCTCAGTAAAATAGGATCTAAAAATGAAATATTCTCTGGAAGGTTATTAAGCAGGAGATTTTTTTTTTTCACAGAAGAAAAAACTGTTGCAGTAAATTCCTTCAGCTTAAGAAAAATTACATGAGAAGGAACTGAAAGTACCCAAGAAAGACTACTCAGGCAGGAGACAGTATGGTGATATTTTATTTGTATTAAAATGTTATTTGTATGTTAATAAATAAAGTTGCCCGGGGGTCAGAGCTATTAGCAAGCCATAGGAAAGCAGGGCAGTGGTAGCGTACGTTTGTAATTCCAGCACTTAGTAGGCAGAGCTGGGTAAGTTTCTGTGTGTTCAGGGATACAGCCATTATTGGATACACATGCCTTTAATCTTAATACCAATCATGGAAAACCTGGAGGCCTATACAGACAGGCTGTGAGGAGGCGGTCATGTGGTTGGGTTTACAACCAATGAGAAGGCAGGACAGGAACTCTATATAAAGACTTTAACACAGGGGTAGCTCTGGTTCGGAGAGGTAGGACCACCGCAGGAGGAAGGGTAAGGTTTTAGCTCTTAGCTCTGACCTCTTGGCTTTCTTCTTTGCATTGGTTCTGTGTTTATTGTTTGATGGGAAGGTTGGATACATCTACATTTGGCGCCCAACGTGACAAGAATTCATTAAAAACCGATTGGCTTGGCTTGGCGGCAGGTCCGGTTTCCAGTCTGGGCGGCCTGGCTGCCTAGCTTGGGCCCAGGCCTGACTGACCCGCAGCTGGAACTGCTACAAACAACTCAGACCTGCCCCGCTGAACAGGGCCCCTGCCTGTAAAGCCAAGGCTTGACTCGGCTCAAGCGGCTACACTTTCTCTCTCTCTCTCTCTCTCTCTCTCTCTCTCTCTCTCTCTCTCTCTCTCTCTCTCTCTCTCGCTGGATTCACACCTCGAACACCAGTGGCTGTGAAATTCCCTGGGATTCTACTGTTCTACCCAGACTTGGTAAGTCAATTAACATATCTATTTAAAAGAGAATTTTTTTCTACATTAAAAAAAAAAATGGGCTTTATGTGTACATTGGAAGAAAATTGGGCTTTGTTTGAAATTTTAGGCACTCTGACAATGGAACAACTATATGAAAAGATTAATATTGATCGAATTATTCAGTTTATTACTTTTCTTATCCTCATTTTACTATTTAAAAAGATCGTCAACTTAAGTGCCAGGATAACAGTCTTAGAAAAACTTGTTAAACCGGTAAAAATGAATTATAGAGAAATTCAAATTCAGACAGAAGAAATAAATAGTGAAGTTGTTTCAAAATTGGATCGTAAGGTTACAGAAAGAAAGCCAGTTTTCACACAATCACCCTTAATTTATCCAGTAGCCGTACAGCAGCTACCTGATGAAGAGAATGAACAAAATACTTGGGTTCCAGTTGAAATGTTAGACTTACAAAGATTTAAGGAGGCAATAGCATCTTATGGCATGCACTCCCCATATGTAAAGCAAATGTTAAACACCTGGTCAACTTGTAATAGGATTATACCAAAGGACTGGCGGGAATTGGCACAGGCTGTTCTTGAACCCGGACAAAATCTCCAGTGGAAAATGTGGTTCAGTAATGAGGCTAAAAATATAGAAAGACAATGGAGGGATAGCGGAATACAAGTCTGCCAGGATCAGCTTATTGGCGAAGGCCAATATGCTTCAGTACAAACACAATGTTCATATGATGTCCAAACCCTACTTCTATGTAAAACGGCAGCTTTGAATGCATGGGACAGAGTTGAAGAACCAGGAAAAAAAACTGAGTCATTTACAAAGGTTATACAGGGCCCCAAAGAATCTTTCACAGACTTCTTACAAAGATTGACTTCAGCAGTACAAAAAATGGTCCCGAATTCAGAGGCTAGTCAGATAATAATTGAATCTTTAGCCTTTGAGAATGCAAATGCAGCGTGCAAAAGAATAATTAGGCCGTTAAAGGCAAGATCTGCACCTTTGGAAGATTGGATTAGAGATACAGTTAATGTAGAGGCTTATGACCATGATGATATGTGGGTAGGAAAAGCAATTTCAAAAGGTTTGAGCAATGTTAGATGTTTTGGATGTGGAAAGCAAGGACATTTGAAAAGGGATTGTAAACAGGTCATTCCTAGAAATAATGTTTCTTCAAGGAACACTGGCAACAGAATGCCCCTTCCTTCTGGAGTATGCAGAAGGTGTGGTAAGGGAAAACACTGGACCAACGAATGTAGATCAACAAGGGACAGACAGGGTAACCCTCTGCCTCGAGCTTCGGGAAACTCCCAGAGGGGCCTCAGGCAGGCCCCCACAGTAAATCCAGTTCAAACCTTTCCTGCAGTTGTAGAGGAAACCCCTACTCAAAGCAACTAAATAACCAAATGTCTATTGGAATAAATCATGTTAGTCGAGATGATGAAACAGAGAAAATAGGAAATACAGGAAAAAACATAAAGAAAATTTTTTGGCAAACTTCTATTAATGAACAAAGACCAAAACTAACAATAAAAATAAATGGTGTTTTGTTGTCTGGTCTGGTAGACACAGGTGCTGACATTACCATAATTGCACCAGAATTTTGGCATCCAACTTGGCCTCTTCAGGAGGTAAACATTCAACTCTTAGGAATTGGGACATTATCTAGAGTGAAACAAAGTGTAAGATGGCTTGAATGTATAGGTCCAGAAGGACAGAAAGGAAAATTAAAACCATATATGGCTAACATAGCTATGAACCTGTGGGGTCGAGACTTGTTACAACAGTGGAATACTCAGATTAATATCCCTCCAATCTCAGAAACAAATCATAAATTAGTACATGTTTCTGAGAGAAATATTAAAAGATATTATTCTAATGAGTGCTCACCAGCCATCCATGTCATACAAGAACAGGGCACAATAACTGATAATCTTCCAAAAACATTAACAGCTCTACCTTTAAAATGGTCAACAGACAAGCCTGTATGGGTTCAGCAATGGCCTTTAACAACAGAGAAACTCCAGGCTTTACAAGAGTTGGTGGAAGAACAGTTAAATGCTCATCATATTGAAGAATCAACCAGCCCTTGGAATTCTCCTGTATTTGTTATAAAAAAAAAATCTGGTAAATGGAGAATGGTAACAGACCTTAGAGCAATTAACAAAGTAATTCAGCCAATGGGCTCTTTACAATCTGGAATTCCTTTACCTACTCTGTTACCAAAAGGCTGGCCTCTCATAGTTATTGATTTAAAAGACTGTTTCTTTTCAATACCCTTACAAGAAAAAGACAGAGAAAGATTTGCTTTCACAGTGCCTACTTATAATAATTCTCAACCGGTTAAAAGATTTCAATGGAGGGTTCTCCCACAGGGAATGTTGAATAGCCCAACTTTGTGCCAATATTTTGTAAAACAGCCATTAGAAGTGGTACGTAAAAAATTTCCTAAATCTATAATTTATCATTATATGGATGACATTTTATTAGCTGATTCAAATGCAGATACTTTAGAAAGAATGTTTGAAAAAGTAAAGAAAATTTTGCCTTGCTGGGGATTACAAATTGCTTTAGAAAAGGTACAAAGAGGAGATTCTATTAATTATTTAGGATATAAAATAGAACTTCAAAAAATTAGACCTCAAAAAGTGCAAATTAGGAGAGATCGACTACAGACTCTTAATGACTTTCAAAGATTATTTGGAGACATTTCTCATCTAAGAACTATTGTTGGGGTAAAAAATGATGAACTGAATAATTTGTTTAAAACCTTAGAAGGTGATAAGGACTTAAATAGTCCAAGAGAATTGTCACCTGAAGCTGAGAAAGAATTGGCCTTGGTAGAAAAGAAAGTACATGAAGGGCACGTAGATCGTATTGATCCAAAGCTGGATTGCATTTTGGTTATTTTACCTTCTAGGCATTCCCCAACAGGAATATTAATGCAAAGGGAAGATATTATATTGGAATGGATATTTTTACCAAATAAACCAAATAAAAAATTAAAAACTTATGTGGAAAAAATCTCTGACTTGATTTGGAAAGGAAAATTGAGACTTCGTCAATTAGCAGGAATAGACCCAGCAGAAATTGTCGTACCTTTAACTAAGGAGGACATTGAAAAATTATGGATAGAAAATGAAGCTTGGCAAAAAGCTTGTAGTAATTTTTTGGGAGA